CTGAACCCTAACCCCAAACCCCCTAACCCCTAAACCCGAAACCCTAAACCCCCAAACCCTAACCCCAAACCCCCTAACCCCTAAACCCCAAACCCTAACCCCTAAACCCTAACCCCAAACCCTCTAAACCCCTAAACCCACAAACTCTAAGCGAAACTTGGACTTTCGGTTCGAACTCTCGGGTTCGAGGTTAAATTCAAGCTGGCACTCGAAGTTTGGCAGCTCACTGCGTAATGTAGGGGCCTGAATAATTAGAATACGGTTTCGGGGGTTCCTTATTATCAATCATAGTATAACATACCCCAAACCCTATTCTAATTATTAAGGGCCCTTTATTACCCCCCTTCCTCGAAGTCCCTAAGTCTGTGGCTCAAAATCGCCCAAAAGCCTTCTATAGTATGGTCTTGGAGCCGAAAAGCCTTTACATATGAGTCGTTAGAGCCTTGGGGTAAGCAGACTCCAAAAGACCCTAACCCCTAAACCCTTACCTCTAGTCTCCATTGCAGTTCTTTTTTGGGGATGCCTTATAAAATCCGGAATATATAATTGGCTAAACCAAAAAAGGAACTACAATGGAGCCTACAGGTAGGCTCCAAAAGGAAAAAACCGAGATCTTGTTGAATTAAGGAGGCTGGGCCAAAATGCGGCCTCGTTGGTCTGCAAGAGGAGCTCACGCCCGGTGTCGCCGTGGACGTTCCCCTGCGTCTCTCGATTTGTAGGGTTTGGGGTTTAGGGTTAAGGGTTTGGGTTGGGGCTTAGGGTTTAGAGTTAAGGGTTTGGGTTTAGGGTTAAGGGTTAAGGGTTTGGGTTTTGGGTTTAGGGTTTAGGACTTGGGTTTCAGGGCAGCGTGCATACCCCAGGCCCCAGACAGGGTCTGTGATATCAAACTAGAGCCCGATCTTTCAAGGGGGGTCCTTCACCGATATAGTGGCTATACGTACCTTGCATAGGGTTGTTATAGTATACTTAAAACTCTATTCACAGCTTCACACTGAGAGTTGCTAGGTTCTAGTGCCTGCCAGTGATTCCGATAGCCCTAGATGCACACATGCTCATTAAGCTCGCAGTTGGCACATTTGTGCCATATTGTTCTTCGCATATAACACCAAAAACCCTAAACTCTGGACACAACTACCTAAGCAGCAGTTGGTCGTCTTGGGGTGGTGATTGGGTTTTCACGAGCTTAGATTACTGAGCACCGATGGGCCACTTCAATCGTAGAAGATTTAGGACGATGCGCCCTAAGTCCGTCAGTCTACAAATCCTAAACTTCCTGCCTGACTGCAGCTTCTCGTCAGCCTTCCGTGACCCATCAGAACCAGCATTCTGGGACGTCCTGGCATAGATACAAATGTAGAGCTGACATGGAACCAGCATGCCAGTTTCGTGTTTGGTGCCCCTGAAACCCCAGAGACACAAACCGCGAATGTCTGAACCCACATGTTCAGGGTATCGCGGCGCCTCATGCCAACTCTAAATACTAAACCCTACACCCCTAAACCCCAAACCCTAAAAAACCCTAAACTCTAATCCGGGTTTAGGTTTCGGGAGTAACTGAGGCTTTATGATGCCCCACTACTACCGCCACCTGTTGGGAGTCATCCGGGAGCTCGAGATACCGGTCAGAGCAGCACCCCGGAGTTCTAATTCAAAAAGCTTCGAGGCTTTCCAGGGGCTACTGCAGTTTTGTGCCGACGGCCTTTTTCTAGAGCTTCTTGTGATCTGAAGCCTCTAGAAGCACCCAGAGAACCCAATACTCTTTAATTAAGGAATATATGCCCTAAGTTATAATGTGAAGGCCCCTATAAGTTAAGGTATATTCCTTTACTCCCTTATAGAACCCTTATAGAGACCCTTATAGATCCCTTTAAGGAGCCCTATAGTTTAAGGCGTCTTAATTAAGGGGTCTTGGGATCGCTGGGCGTAGGCCCTGAAGCCGAATCCCAAAACCCGGAGGCAGGAGCCGCAAAGCCCGGAAGATTTGACCCTGAAGCCGAATCCCTGGGTTTAGGGTTTAGGGTATAGGGTTTAGGGTTTAGGGTTTAGGGTTTAGGGTTTAGGGTATAGGGTTTAGGGTTTAGGGTTGGACGAGGGTAGGGGCTTCCAAACTTGGAGGTACCTTACAATGCCGCGTACCAGAAGGGGACGAGCATGCTGATGGTTACATCTACCAGCTGGTGGGAAGACATGGCCATCGTTTTTTCTTGTATTAGGGTTGCAGTTCGCACCTGCCTGACACTTGGCTAGTTTCGATTTGCACCCCCTGCACCCCCCACTAAACGCTTCTAGTAGCCAACATCCTCTAGAACGTATATGCCCTGAAACCGGCAACAATTCCCGTTCGCGGCCCGGACACCCCGGAAGGTCAGAACATATCTGGCAACATCTGAAGTATGTTCCTTATCTGGCCAAGCTGATGTTCACGGTCTTCCTGTGCAAGGACGGACTTTCCAATTTCCTGTAATTGATTACTTAGGATAGGGTTCCTTCAGGGGTTCTATAAGGGTGTCTATAAGGGTTCGTGAAAAGGTTTTTTTAAGGGTTACTACTGTATACGGGGTCTAGAGCGGTGACCTTGTTGTTTGATTTCGCTGGTAGATGCATGCAGCAAAAAGCTGTTTGGGATTTTACTCTCGAGGTTTGCCTGTAGTCTCCGGTGTAGAGTCCCAACCCCAAAAAGAACTGCAATGCAACCCTAAACCCTAAACC